TCCATCGCCTCCCACAACACTGGTTTATCTGTTGAAACTGAAAGGAACTGGGCAAAGACCTGTTCTCTGTTGCTACCAGAGACCATCACCTAAGCCAGATACCCCTTTGGCCAGTGAGGCAGCTCATCAAGATCAGCCACAGAAGTGCTGTTCTCTCTTAGCTTCGACTGTTTTCACTGGAACCAAGGGGCTAAGTTTCATTGATTTGAGAGTTCCCTCAAAATCCTTGATTACTAAACAAATCCCTTAAGATATTCTCAGCATCCTGATAATGATCGTTCCACAACCACTGAAGTAATTAACACCTGTGACCCAGAGATTCCACATTACCAGCTTTATATAGTAAGGGACCACTGCTAAGAGGCTTAGAGTTTTGTTGCATAGTTCAGTGTTTCAGAAAACATTATGAAAAGCAGAATTATACACTACATTATTCCCCAACCACACTGAAAAGGCAGAGATTCCTTCCAGCTTACTTCTCTGACAAACCTATAGCACACCACACAAACTTTCCCACTGCTACACTGCTCACACCATTGCACCCCTTGCTCCTGGGGAGAGGATGAGAATAAACTGTGAGAGATGTTAACAGTGCTGGTTAGTACACATAGCAAACAGGACTAAGATCTCAAGATGGAAAAAATGTAATTTATATTTTTTTAAAAAGAAAGATATCTTGTGAGCAATCAGTACGAGTATGATGAACTCAGATCATGCAGAAGAGAGAAGCTGAGCAAGATAGCAACTGTAAAGATTAGCTCCTAAAAGCACATGTAGAGAGCAGTTCATTATCATTTCCAGCCCTCTCTGATCAAGATAGAAATCTATTAAATCTGATTAAGACTTGTTTAATAATTGTCTGATTAAAACATAATAAACCTGGGAAAATTAAAATAAAGCCTTTTTAGTAACCTGGAGATGAGATGGGACTCTTCAGCCAGGCTTCCACAAAATAATTTCTTTAACATGCACCTCAGGATCCCAAAGCACTTCAGTCATTTAATTAAGCTTCAACAGAGCACAAACTCCCCATTTTACAGCTGAGGTAACAATGAAAGGGAGTTTATAAAAGACTATTTAATTCTGAAGAGAGCTAACTGTTCTGTTACTTTACCCCAAAAATAGATTCCCAACACCTATAGGAGAATTTCCTCCTCCTCTCATCATTCTGGAAGCCTCTGAAGTGATAGTAAAATTCAAACATGTGACGTACAACCTAAAGAAAGCTCTCATCACTTCCCAAGCTCCTCAGATTTGGAGTATAAACACTGCTGCCCATGTCTCTTACAAAGCTGCTCCTCCCTGTTCCCATTACTCCAGCTGTCCCTATGCCTCTTGGCCCCAGTAGACCAATTTAAGCTTCCCTTCTTCTAAGCTGAAAACTTAGATAACGCAAATCATTACAGAGTTTGACATTTTTGCCTTTAATCCACAACAGGTCAATGACTGATTTCCAAAGCAACTACTACCCAGCAAAGGATTTGCATTTCTACTGAACACAGGCAAGTAGTTCATCTAAAGCCACCCCAAGATCCTAAACTATACCAAGTTATTCATAGGAGAGAAGGAAGGGAGCAAGTAGGAAGCAGATTCTGACTTACTAAAATGAAAGTGATTAAAACATTGACTGCACCACTGGGTGCTGAAGAGCATTCGGTGAGAAATACTCATGGGTTATAATAACTTGGGGAGGGCAAGAGAAGACATAGACTCTACAGAAAAACACTAATCGCTCTTAATCTAGCCCATTATTTCTAGATTTGAGTAGGCAGCTTTCCTTTAGGAGGCAAAATGACGGTGGTGGAATTATGCCATCCCACTGTCACTGACAACTTTGTGGATGGCAAAAGATAAGGAATGAGCATAGAAAATGCTATTTAAAGCTCCACTCAGGAACCTAGAAATTTGCATTTGATAGAAAGGATTTAAATTGTATTAGAAGGCAAGGTGCACTAAACAATTACAGTTTATTACTGTGTTGGTTCACTGCCTGAACCTATACTTATCACAGGCTGCAGTGGCAGAGGAGCAGCCACGCTCGGTGCACTCGAGCTGTGTGAGTACTAATGGCAGGGTTAGCTCAGCAAACAGGGAAGGGGCCAAATGCTTCTGAAAACAAAGTGGCTTGCAGATTTTATGGGCAGACTGGAGTAATTTGGGTCTTAAGTCACATTTCAGAGAAAAGTTTTCCATTAACCAAACTGGATTTCCAGCACAGTGCTTGGAAGAGAACACTCTTTGCTGCATCACGGCATATAAGCTGTGGAATGACACTGACCCAAGAGAGAAACATATCCTGCAGCAGCTGATTCAGAAAGACATTAGACACACCATCTCCCCTCACAGCTGGAGCAGGGCCAAGGACACTCAGAGTCTATCTGCTTCATTTGTTGTTATGCTGCATAAGAGGGATACACTGAGAATATTCATACTGGTCAAAATTAAATAGATGACATTTTTTTCTCCCATCCAGTCTGCACCTTTGATGAAGAATTTTCAGCTTTGATAAAAACTGAAGGTTGCCATATTACCATATGCTTCTTTTCTTTAACTAGGGGAATTAGATTACACCCCAGCCACTCCTCTGGACCCTTTGAAAACACTACCCTGCTTTCCATAGCGGACTCCAACCTTTCTCATCCCTTCCTCGTGTCTTGAATTCATAGCAACTTGTGTCCTTACTCATCCATACAAAAAGACCCCACAACAAAAACTCAGCGTTCAGGCCTTCTTACACATTGAACAAACAGGGACTAAAATCTGCTGGATTGCTGGGGAGGGAAAAATGAAACAGGTTTTCTATGTCACAGAATGAGATTAGGCCAAAAGGGAGCAGCAAATCTTCAGAAGACTTTTACTTAGCTGTGACAATGGGGAGGGAATACACAGAGAATATTGAATAAAAACTGCAGGATACCATGAGAACAACACTAAATCTTATGGCTCAAACACTACCAGGAAACGGTAACAACTTTGAAATTTCAATAGATTAATTTTAAAGCAAAAGCTAGGAAAATGCCTCTCAGAATCTGCCCTGCCTATTTAGGAAACATTCCAATACACCTGCTCTCCTGAACAACAATGAAACTCTTCCTACATGAGGTCACACGAACAGGCAAGGAATGCCAGGTACTGATAGCACAACACTCTATGGCCACCATGCCTTCAGGGGCACAGCTCAGGGAAGTTTTACTTTTCACTTCTGCAAAAAAGTGTCCTGCTACTTCATAGAGTGACTCAACACTTCTCCGTAGCATAGGACTGTGCAACTAATGCCCTTTGAAAGCACTAATGTGCTAAGTGGCATCAGGGACAGGAAGTTATCAGTGTTAATCCACTTCAACTGGTTTAACAGTTACAAGGAATAGAACCGTCTATATGCAAGACACTTCCTCTGAGAGTCCCCTTGCCTGAAACAGAAGCACACAGCCTTTCAACGTGCTTTCCCACCAGCATAATTGCTCACCAACTGCTTTCTCAAATCAATTATGTTGTCTCAGCATTAAAGGATGGAAGGCAGAGTAGACCAACTTTTTGTTTAGCTAGGCATGCTGGCAGGTTACAGTCATATGTTCTGCCATCTGTACTGCTAGCTTTATCCTTTATCCAATCATAACAGGTAAAATGGCATTGCTGTAACTGAATCTGTTCACTCAGACAGGGAAGGAGCCAGAACAGGCATTTGTTTTTTCCCACAATTCTGAAAGGAAGCAGGAGATGGACACTCTTGCCCTTTTAAAACATTCTGCTTTTCAATAGATGGGCAATTTGCCCTGGTCTGCTAATGTGGGATCTGCTCAATGCAAGGCTGAAAAGGTTCCATCCCCGGGGAAAGCATCGAACTGCTGATGAACATTTGGTGGCCTTTAGCAAAAATGAAGTGATTTCTGCCAAGAGGATCCCAGCAGACTGGGAAGGACAGGCTCCAAATTAGGTGGGATTGTGATGCAGGAATTTCAGAAGGCCTGTACAGAACACAAGGAGCTTGCTGACTAGCTGTAGTCTTTCCCCCTGCACATTCCTTTCTTATTCCTATTCTTTAAAATTATGAGTATATTGGCAAATGTCATGGTTGCATTCAGGAGAACCTGGAAGCTTTCAAATGCAATGGGCGTGTGAAGATGACCTTTCATCTGACACAAAGGCTGCTGGGCTGGGCGGGTTTCTTTTAAAATTTCACAGTATTAGAACATTTGTGACTAAAGGTGCTTGAAACTGCTTCAAAAAATGTCTATAGGTCAGTCCCAGAGTTTTAGCCCTTCTCAAAAATAAACAAACAAAGACAATTTTCTAGTAGACAATTCCCTTTGCCCCAGATGGGATGTTTTTAAATCAACATTCACATTCACCTTCCCCTTTAGATGCCCCCTCTGACTGCTAGGACATATTGCTTCTTCAGCCAATTCTGTTTATGTTACTAAATAGCTTTAATTATTTAATAAGAACTGGCTGCAGCTGAAGCCTGAGTCGATGTCAGACAGGAATGGCCAGCAGACCTATTAGTCTTGAAATGACTCTATTTTCATAGTCTCAAAGGAGCAACACCACCTTGCCTAACTGTGGAGGGACTTAGCTGCTGTTGGGTTCTTTTGTTTCTCTCCTTTTTTTGTTGGGGGAGGGGGAATGTTAATAGTTTTCTTTTGGCAACCCAGGCCAAAAGGCCCAACCCCATTTGTCCAAAACCTTACCCAACCATAATGCTACTTTAAAAACAGGATACAAGTATTTGTTACATAAAAATTGGTTCAGTTAAAAATATGAACACTATACTAGCTGCTGTTGGGTTCTTTTGTTTCTCTCCTTTTTTTGTTGGGGGAGGGGGAATGTTAATAGTTTTCTTTTGGCAACCCAGGCCAAAAGGCCCAACCCCATTTGTCCAAAACCTTACCCAACCATAATGCTACTTTAAAAACAGGATACAAGTATTTGTTACATAAAAATTGGTTCAGTTAAAAATATGAACACTATACTTTTTCA